CGTTTAGAGTTAAAAAATAACTTACCTCACATCCAATGCAAAAATAGAATAGAATACTTTCTTCTTGTATACTTTTCAAGTTTCATGTTAGTTGCCAGAGAGTTTCAAACAACATCTCCTATGGAGCGTTGAACGAACTACATACTTATCGCATGACAACATGAAACTCAAAAAGTATTAAAATATTAAATTTTGTAAAAGTATTTTACAATTAATAGAAAAAGTGCAACAAAGCAACTTGGACAAACGTCAGAAATAATAAATTCAATATTCCCACCAATTGTTGAAACAATTTCAGTAGTTGACTTCTGACAAATTTACATTTTCAATTTTTTTTTGTTTCTAACTTAGTCTGAGAGGGTGGAATAAATTTTCTAATGGGTGGACAAACGAAATTACAACTTGGACAAACGTCAGGAATAATAAAATCAACATTCCCACCAATTGTTTAAACAATTTTAATAGTTGAATTAATTTTCCAGTAGGTGGACTAACGAGATTTTTACTTCAGGGATGCCACATTTCAGGCAATCACGGAATTCAGGGAAAAGTCTGGGAAAATAGAATTAGTCAGGGAAATCATGGAAAAGTCAGGGATTTTTACTAAAAGTACTGGAAAAAATTAAATGTTTTGAATTGATAAGAATATTTTAATTTTTTGTGTATTTTTTGTTTGCCGTATAAACTTAAAACTATAAAATTATGAATTCTAAAAAAACCTTAAATTTTTTCTACTTCTGACAATAATTTATTTTCTATTTAAATAACTTAATTCAATTCAAAAACTGCGATAAATTTATTACTTATAAATCATTTAATGAAGTATTTTTTTTAAATTTTAATTCCAATAATTCTGTTAAAATTAAATTAAATTTTGAAAATTTTAACCCAATTCTTTTACATAATTTATCTATTTTAGTAAATATTAAAATTCTTTCGAGATATTTAAATATTTTCAAAAATTAAAAAAAAAATTTTTAACGTTTCAATTATCTTTATAAATCCCAAAATTCTTCGCCGAAATTCAATTATATTTAGGAATTTTTATAAAATTCATAGTAAAATTCAATTACTTTCCTAAACAGCAATTTGATTTATCATAAGAATTTAATTATTTTCAAAATTAATCAAATTCTTGGAATAAATTCAATTATTTTTAAAAAATCTAAAAAAATCGTCAACACTTCAATTATTTTTATAAATGAATAACAAAATTCTTCAAAAAAATTTAATTATTTTCAGGAATTTTAATAAAATGCATTCCAGAATTCAATTACTTTCATAAATAATAGTATTCATCACAAGAATTTAATTATTTTAAAAAATAATAAAATTTATTGAAGAATTTCATTTATTTTTAATACAATTTGAATCCAATTCTTCGAAAAATGTATTTATTTTTAAAAATTTCATTAAAATGCGTTGAAAGAATCCAATTATTTATAATAATTTGTTGATAAAAATATGTATAAGAATTCAATTCTAAGAAACATTCAATTATTCAATGAATTATTTATGTTTGTATTTAAATAATTGAATCCAATAAAAATTGATTTAAAACTTAATTCTAGTTCAAGTTTTATATACCTAATAATTGAATTTTGGAGAAGTTACTATTAATTGCATTTTTTAAAAAAATAATTAAATTTTGTCAATCTTTTGAAATAAAATCTTAAAAAATCTGAATTTTTTATATATTTAGGTAATTCAAAATTCTATTGAATTAATTTTCTTCTAATGTATATTTAATTGGAGAATTTCCGAATAATCGAAATTTCACGTAAGATTGAATTGAAAATAAATGGATTTGAAAAATTCAAAAAGCTTACCTTTTGTATTTTAGAAACAAAGTTGAAAATGTACATTTGTGAGACGTCAACTATTGAAATTGTTTAAACAATTGGTGGGAATGTTGATTTTATTATTTCTGATGTTTGTCCAAGTTGTAAGTTCGTTTGTCCACCCATTAGAAAATTTATTCCACTCTCTCAGTCTAAGTTAGAAACAAAAAAATTTTAAATGTACATTTGTGAGAAGTCAACTATTGAAATTGTTTAAACAATTGGTGTGACTCTTGATTTTATTGTTTCTGACGTTTGTCCAAGTTGTAATTTCGTTTGTCCACCCATTAGAAAATTTATTCCACCCTCTTAGACTGATTTACAAACGAAAAAAGTCTAAAATGAACATTTATCAGAAGTCAACTAGTGAAATTGTTTAAACAATTGGTGGGAATGTTGATTTTATTGTTTCTGACGTTTGTCCAAGTTGTAAGTTCGTTTGTCCACCCATTAGAAAATTTATTCCACCCTCTCAGACTAAGTTAGAAACAAAAAAAGTTGAAAATGTACATTTGTGAGACGTCAACTATTGAAATTGTTTAAACAATTGGTGGGAATGTTGATTTTATTATTTCTGATGTTTGTCCAAGTTGTAAGTTCGTTTGTCCACCCATTAGAAAATTTATTCCACCCTCTCAGACTAAGTTAGAAACAAAAAAAGTTGAAAATGTACATTTGTGAGACGTCAACTATTGAAATTGTTTAAACAATTGGTGGGAATGTTGATTTTATTATTTCTGATGTTTGTCCAAGTTGTAAGTTCGTTTGTCCACCCATTAGAAAATTTATTCCACCCTCTCAGACTAAATTAGAAACAAAAAAAATTGAAAATGTACATTTGTCAGAAGTCAACTACTGAAATTGTTTAAACAATTGGTGGGAATATTGAATTTATTATTTCTGACGTTTGTCCAAGTTGTAATTTCGTTTGTCCACCCATTAGAAAATTTATTCCACCCTCCTAGACTAAGTTAGAAACAAAATTTAAAAAAAAAAAATTTTATAATTTTTTTTTTTTTTGAAACTTTTTTTTGGTGGACAAAAAAATTAATGGTTGGACAAACGTGGACCTATCTTGGACAAACGAATACTACTTAGAAAAGTAAAAAATTTTGACATGTCGGAGCCAACTTCACAGACCTAATAATTTAATAAAATTTAATAATTAATAATATGTTCAGTGGCCCAGTATTCTTTGATGAATCAGTGGAATTAAAGAAAGCAGGGTCACTAAATTGGAATCAGTGAAATTTTCACTGATTCAGATTTAGAGTGTAGCGTAATAAAATTAAACTAAATTTTTCACAGTGTGTTTATGAAGTATCAATATCTATATTGCATATTTCCTTCACACACACACACACACACACACATATATATATATATATATATATATATATATATTTGCAACACTATTCATGGCAAAGTTTAAAAACACTTGTTTTAATGACACAGTACATGCAATATTTTGAATCTTTATACCCAGGCGGAAATTTCCAACCGGCGCGGATCCTAGCCCGTACTGACGCCGGTGTAACTGTACTGGCTCGGAACCGCCTGCCAACCGAATGTGAACGGGCATTCTACCGAATAGTGACTAGGCCAGGAGCGCGCTGGCAACCGGCTCGGAACTGGCATTCTACCGCCCGCTGACCGGCCGGGAGAAGCCGTTCCGTGTATAATTCAACCGGCTGGGACCTGGCACTCTACCGACCGTGGATTTTTCATTTAATAGCCAGCCAAGCGCTGGCATTCTACCGACTGACAACCGGATCGGATCCAAATGATAATTTCAACAAATATCAATACAAAAAATAATAATCAATTGCAAAAGATAAATACTAATGACAATTCATTGACAGTTCACTTTACACATTTTTTTAATTTTTTTATACACTTAAACGCAATTTTTTATTACATAGACATTTGAAAAATCCTAACGCTTGGGGGTACGGAACCTACGCCTAACCGAATATCTACGCACCGAAATCTCGCACGCTAACCACTATGCTACGCTCGCATGGGACTCTCAAATCTTAAATACTCTCAAGTGTCACTAGCTCAAATAAAACTTGCAGAATTACTACGCGTCAATGATACCGCTATATTTTCAATACTTTATTGAATGTATATTTAGGACTATTTCAATATTTCGTTAAAAAAGAAACTTGTTATATTTTTATTATTATATAATACATATTATATTGAATAATTGTTTTTCAATATAATAATATTGAACGTAATAATATTAATATTATTAATATTGTTGAGAATTAATAATAAATTATCAATATTAATATTAATTAATAATATATCAATAACAATAAATTTATTATTATTAAGATATTAATTAAAATTATTAATATCATTACCTTCAATATTATTATATTGAGAAACAATTATTCAATTATTATTGAGATATTATTAATTAATATTATTATTAATATTAATAATTTATTATTAATAATATATAATATTAATTAATAACGAATTTTTTTAATTATTTAATTTTTAAAAAAGTCTCAATAAATAATTACTTAATATATTGATTAGATTTATTTAATAATAATTATTTTCTAAAATAATGCAATTACTTGTAATAATTATTTAATTTATAATGTGACAATAAATGACGAGATCCGCAGTCGGATCCTCCCCAGTACCGAGCCAGTACAGACTCAACATATCCGTCATTCTTCCGACGCCGCAGAAGAATAAGATCCGCCGGCGGAAGAAATCCAGTACCGAGCCAGTACTGACAATAGTGGGAAGACGGTTCCGACAGTCGGAGCATAATCTGTACCGCGCCGGTTGCTTTTTCAGATCCGAATCGGTACAGACCGTCGGTACTTGCGGTCTGTACGGGCGCGGATCCCAGCCGGTTGTAAACTCCGACGTTCGTCCGACTTTTCCGCCTGGGTATATATATATTTTTTTTCCACCATAAAATTTTTTATTGCAAGTTATAAATTTTTAAAAATTAAAAATAATTTATAACTTATAATAAACAATTTTATGGTTGAACTAAAAAATTTATAATATTGCATGTCCTGTGTAATTTTTTTTTATTTAATGCATTATAATGAAATGTATTCATGTATTCATACTATTAATTTTATATTATGCTTTTAAGAACCTTAATTATTTTTTTTAAAACAGGCAGTCAAACAATCCTGCGGACTGTTGTTCTGTACTCATTAAAACAGAAGGTTGTGAAGAAGAACCAGATGTGGATGTTGAAGGAGTTGAAGGTGAATCTCTTCTTTCGGATAATAGGGAAAGTAGCATAGAACCTCCACGAAGAAGGGATAGTTCGGATCCTGTAAATCTAAGCCTTAATTCTGGTGCTTCTACAACGAGTGAAAGTTCCCATGATATTATAAACAGGTTAGTTAAGAAATATAATTTGTTTTAAAAAAATCTTTAAGAATAATTTCAAAATTTCCCAAGTGCGAAACTAAATTTTGTTCAAAGTGGGTCAAATTTTGGTAAAGCTTCAAGGATCGCGTGCCAATTTTATGATTTTCATATTATCAAATATTGTATTTTCAAATTAGTATTTGACTTAAGTTTCTTATTTTGAAAGATAATTAATTGTAAATTTTGTTCTTCGAAATTATTTGTTTGTTTGTTCTTAAATTATTCTATAACACTTGTTCTATAATAAATCCGGATCAAATAAGTCACAAATATAACAGATTACCCAATTTAATCAAGTGTAACTAACTTTTTTTAAATTTTACAAATTAAAAAATATTGAAAAAAACTCACTTTTTGTATTAATTGTTTGAAAGTCTTCATGTAATTTTAAAAATAACATAACCAAAAAAGAATTTTGAAAAACGCAAAAATGTACGATAAAAAATATAGATTGAATGATTATTATTATTGATAAGGGTTGTGAACGCAGCGTCTCACAGTCACATAATGGCCTCTCCAAGAAAGAAGTACCCCGTATTGTGTTAACGCTCCTTCACAAGATCAGGATACTGGCACAAATTGTGTGTCAAGGTTTCATCTTCCTCTTCACACTTACGGCATTTAGAATCCTCCACAATCCCCATTTTATGCCTATGATAGCGCAAATCACCATGACCGGCAAGCAGGCCTATTATGATTTTCGGCTCTTTTATATTGAGTTTACGGAATTCCGCTTTTCTCCTGGGATTTAAGTTAGTTCCCATGAGTGTTTTGGTTTGTCTACATCCCTTAATCGCCCGCCATTCCTCTTGGTGCTCTTCCGTCAGCCACTGTTTGAATTCCAGGGCCAAGTATTTGTCAGAAACCCCAATAGGAGGCTCAGACCTAATATATTGTTCCGTAGCACCCGCTTTGATTAGCTAATCCACTTTGTCGTTACCAATGAATCCACTGTGACAAGGGACCCAGAAAATGGTAACGCGGTTAATATTAGCTAGCTTGTTAAGTACCTCATGGCAATCACCGACCAGCTGTGATGTTGTTACATATCGTTTCAAGGAAAAAATTGCTGCCTTGCTATCCGAAAGGATAATAGTTATTTTCGTATTAAGGGCGCAGAATAGGTGATTGCGGCGAAGGCGAGACTAGGGAAACCAAGAGGACCCGAGGCGAAGCCGAGGTTGCGTAGGGTCGCCGAGGTTTCTCCATAATTTCGCCTGAGATACTATCACCTTTTGCGCCCGTGCTGCGAACAACATTTTTTGTCCTGCTGCATGGAAAGTGTTTTAATGACGTTTAGTTTAATTAGTTACGTTAATTTAATTAGTTACGTTAGTTTAATTAGTTACTTTAATTTAATTAGCTAGTTATATTATAGTACTTTATGATTCGAGAACGAGTGTCATATACAACTTTATATAATAAATGCATAAAAAGTCAAAGAAATTGCACGTATATACAATGAAGAACACAAACAATTGCACTGTTATACTATCAAGTCCTCATAAATATCTGGGCGGGGGGGGGGTGTGTCTCGCCTCGACGGGGTCCAGGAGCGGAGCCTCGGCCAGGGGGTTCGGGGGGGGGGGAGCCCCCCGACTAAAAAAAACAACTCAAAAGAATAATTATTTATGATATTTTAAAGAACGTCATTTTCTAATACATCAAGAGACCGGACGCGTCGGGGGGCAAAGCCCCCCGAAACCTAGTCGCGTACTTAAACGTATCAATAAAAAGTATGATAAAAGAATAAAAACAGAATTTTTCACGCGAGCGATCTCATCAAGAAGGTTACAAACTCTCAGAAAATGGCGCGAGTCGTGTAGACTTTTTTACCGACATGCATTCTAATTTGATTTTCTTCTAACAGATGGCGCATTTTTAGTTGTGCGTCCGCCGCTTTTAATAGCAAGTCACTACAATGTTTCAGATTTGCTGTTAAATGAAAACTGTGAAATAAAAGTGTGAAATAAAGAGACTGGGAACAATATACGCGTGCGCGGAAATATTTATATGATCGTTCGCTCTTTCGTTCGCTATTTATATAAAACGCCCTTTCTCGCACATTTTCCTTGCACCAGAAGTGGGACTTTTTATGCATGTATTATATAAATTTAATTAGTTGTTTGTTACATTCGTTTAGTTAAATACTTTAATTTAATTAGTTGTTTGTTACATTCGTTTAGTTAAATACGCCAATTTAATTAGTTGTTTGTTACGTTCGTTTAGTTAAATACGTTAATTTAATTAGTTGCGTTAGTTGCGTTAATTACGTTTAGTTTAATTAGTTACGTTAGTTAAGTTAATTTAATTAGTAACGTTAGTTTAATTAGTTGCTTTAATTTAATTAGTTACGTTTGTTACGTTAGTTACCTTTATTTACGTTAGTTTAATTAGTTATGTTTGTTACGATAGCTTAGTTAAATACGTTAATTTAATTAGTTACGTTTGTTACGTTAGTTTAGTTAGTTACGTTAATCTCGTCTCGAAAAATGAAAAAATCGAAAATACTTGATCGAGCTTTTTGAACATCTCTAGCTTTTAAATGTGTTTTGCGCCCGCTCACCCTACCTCTGGGCGGGAATCACTTACTTTGCTACCGCTTCATGCGCACGAAATAACACAGTTTCGTGAAGGCATGACAAAAACATATTTTTATAATGACAACTTTCTAGGGCCTCGACAGCACCATAAAATATTGCCATAATTTCGGCTTTTAACACAGTATCAGTGGACCCTAGCTTATACGAGTGGTCCAATAGCGATGTTACTTGATAGATTCGAGCACCGACTCCATACTCACTTTGTGATCCATCTAAATACTAAACATCACAATCAGCTGGGATCGTTGTCAGTCTATTTATCCAATCCTCTCTGGTAGGTATACATATTGATCTTATACTTTTTATCATAGGTACAAAGGGACCATCTTGTCCCTAATCATGTTGAGAAGAGGCCTTCCCACTAAGTTTTTAGGGAAACGCCATCTGCCCACCTCCCTGCGGCCCTCAAGACCGCTAAGTCTCAGGGCAGCCTTAGTCTTAATTCGACTCTGCCCCACCAGGCCAAACAAATCAGCGTAGGTCTAGTAGGGAGCCTATGGTAGGTCAGCCTAGAGAGCAGAGTTGCTTCAGATCAAGAATAATGTATCCGGTTTAAGGCCCCAGCTACCACCTATGGCCCTTCTACATTGCCAAAGGATAGCTGTGAGTTTCTTGCACTTCTCCTCTAAGTGCTTTTTCCATAGCAGCTTTCTATCCAGGATTACCCCTAGATATTTTGCCTGACCTGTAAATTGAAGCTCTTTCCCTGCCAGCTTTAGTGAGCACGAGGTTACGTACGATTAACAAAATATCGTCTGCATAGCCTATTGCATGATACCCTGTCTTAGTTAAAAGTGTCAGTAGTTCATTCACTACCAGAGACCAAAGCAAGGGTGAAAGAACTCCTCCCTCGGGACATCCAGAATTAACTGTTCCTTCTAGGACTGAGTTCCCTTTTGTTGATGGGAGGTTTCTGTTTTTAAACATATGACAAATTATTAAAAGCTATCGTAGCTATTTTTATAGACTCCGGAGAGGCCGTACTAAAAGCTCCCTCTATGTCCATAAAGTCCCTTACCGCAAAGCCCTGGTTCTGTAGTTGACCATCAATTAGGTCAACCGCTTTAGCCAGGGCTGTCTCCGTAGAGCATCCCGCTCTATACGCGTATTAATCTTCGTGTAGCGGATCACCAATTTTAGAATCAAAGATGTAAGGCTAATAGGACGGAAATCCTTCTGTGAGATATATCCGTTTTTGACCGCTTTAAGTATGAATACAACTTTCGTATCCCACCATACTTTAGGGACATAACCCATAGTTTGAGTCGTCCTAGCAAACCTCACCAGAAGTCCCACAGCGTCGTCTATCTGCCTTTTGTAAAAGGACAGGGAAGACGACACCTGGACCGTGAGACTTGTAAAGGCTAAAAGATTCTACCGCCTAACTGACCCTATCGGCAGTCACGATCCCATAAGCCAGCTGCCTTCGAGACCAATAGTCAGCCTGTGGAATGTTAAACAAAGGCCAAGGATCGGGACCACCCTCCCCAGAATTCGAAAAGCCTGTAAAGTGTGTCTGTCTTATCATCCGACTCGGAGAAACTTCCATCGGGCAACCTCATGGTGCCCAAAATTGCATCAGGGTTCCTGGCAAGCAGCTTTTCAAGTCTAGCGCCTCTTTCCCCTTTTCGATGCTAGAACAAAAAGCATTCCAACTATTTTGTTTTGCTTTCCTTATTTAATTTCTATAGTCGTCCGTCATTTAAGTAAACTCAGTCCAACCACTAGTCGTGAGTCTTTGTTTAGCTCGCTTGAAAAGTCTTCTGGTTTCTTTTCTGAGATAATCTAACTTCTCATTCTGCCAGCACACTTTTTTCCCGAAAATACTTCTGTCGGTTTGGAACTAATTTCGTAGGCTGCCTTGATGGCCTTTGTAAAATTAGTAGCCACCTTGTCCACGGTCTCTTGATCTCTAATCGTACCCAGTAAATCAGAAAGTGTCTCTCTGAGTTCAAAGTTATATTTAGCCCATTCCGTCTTCTTGGGATTACAAATCCACTTGGCTTCCAAACGGACAGCAACTCTACCTCAAAGACTATCTGTGAATGACCAAAAAGCGAAGGTTCATTAGAAACTCTCCATCTTCTTACCTTGTTTGCAATTCTCTTAGAACAGAGAGTATTATCAATTACTTCCTGCCTAATACCATTGCTAAAAGACTGGGACGAACCCGTGTTGAAAATATACAAATCTGTTCCGATTGGGAATTTCAGTAACTCTTATACTCCCGCCACACCGTATGTTGTGAGAGTACACGCTCTAAGCTTGGCAGTTCTGCAGTCTTTGTAGCACACGAGACGATCCCCTCCATGTCCCTTAATCGCACCTTTTACTAACCATGGTCCTTGGATTAGCGAGATGCCT